GAAATCATAATCAACTGTTTACATTACGTTGCGTTTATACTTTCGCGTCTCGGTTGATCAATAATCCATCAGCTTTTGAGTTTTGACTAGTATTTCTCATCCCTTTTAGTCCAGTGATATTATTTTGTTCAATTAGTCACGTTAAGTGTAAGAAATAGACGTAACGGTAATAACTGGATTTTACACACGTATAATATGTATTGATTTCTAACGCGTGCGGTCGCAGAGCAGTCAGGGCGGTCTATAGCACTCAAACAAGCAGTCCAGGATTAATCGAGGGTAAATTTATACTGTCAGCTTTTTACAAATACTGTGTTTATAGCTAATTCACAGACTTCACAAGTAGTAGTGGCCAGGTGAGGTTCATGGAGCAGTCATCTCCCACTAGCTATAATGTTACTCATTGCCAATTTCTACAGTATCTCCTCTGCCTACCAGTCTGCACTTTGTATCATCATGAGTTACGTCAATTGCTTTAAAGCTAGCTCATAGAATTCGCAAATTTTCCTGAAGCGATACCCCTAAGTGCAGGAAGAACCATGGGACAATTTTGGGATTTGTTTTTAGCCCATCAATTACTTTGATTACTACCCCATGGCGCTTCAATATAGACGAGTTGTTCGTGGCTATCCTGATGCATTCGAAGATATGGTTGGAAGAACGAACCTTGAAATAGTTCTGCATACCACTGCAGGATTGGCAGCTGAGATCCTTGATGTCCGATTTTGACATCAAAGCAATTCGGGACACTGAAAAGCCAGGTCGACAGTAAAACGACAGGTAGTATGAGAGGTCCGTTCACGAATTTCGAACGAGCGGGACACTTGCATTGCAATACGAGCCCCAAGTGAAATTTGTGGCCAAATATGTCGCTCCCGAAAAATTCGTGGCCTACAAAGCAGTGCACACCCGTATGTGCTTGATGCTGTCACAAAGCTCCCCGTAGAAGTATCGAATTCACTGATCAATGTGTTTGACACTTACTTGAGACAGAATCACAGGCCTTGATCTTGTTCTTGCAGACGCCTTCCGGTGTGTACTGTTCCCAAGTCATGTACAGTACGGTAGGTAGATAAAGGCTGAGGAAATCGTCGCAGCTGGCTGTGAAATTTGATGGTAATAGCTCGTGGCAGGCGAACTTCTGTACGGCAGCGGACTGTGCATTCTAGAAAGGCTGAATTATAGCGGAAAGGCACAGGAACTAGACCCTTCCCACAAGGTTTTTGTCTTAGCGCCCAACTAATGAGGCTATAGGTACAGTAGCCTACAATGAGGCAATTCAATGTGAAATTGCATAAAAAGGATTTTGTGGCAACCAAAAGTTTTTTAGGTTTGATCATGATTGCTATAGGTTGAACTCGAAGAGAAGGGGTAGCCAGAGCTACCCTGAGCTACTGGGATATTACTTCAGCCATTCAATTAACCTTTAAAAGCCAAAAAACATCCGGAGCGCACTAAACGACAGCTTCCTGACCATCAGCTCAGGATGGATCCTACGGTTCCGGGAGAGGTCAATTAGGAGTTTCACAAAATGGCTTCAATAGAACGATCTTACGAGCTTTTTTCCACTCTGTTCCATGAAGACAATTTCCTTTCAAGTGCTCGAATGTTCTTTTCATCTAGGAATCGAGCACGGTATCTTGATTCACAAAATGAACTTACTGACCCTGTCATCGATGAGTGAAGTGATTGCTTCCTCAGCAGCAATCTTGCATTCGAGGCAACTCATCAGAACGCTGCCAGTTGGTGTTTCGATCGTCTTTGCAGCTTGGAAGAAGGCATACATCGGATGAATCGGAGTTTCCACATGAGCGGCGGTCTGAATCAAGAAAAGGGTTCACCAATTAAACGAAGTGTCAACGGAACTCAGTTCAAGCACGGAGGAACACTTGGGCAGTGTACGCGGTACAACAAGACTGGCCCTCATTTGACTCATTTTCGTATTGGGCTCAACGCATACCTACCAAAAACTCAAATGGAATATAGAATCTAGGTGGGCGCCATACCGAAACACTAAAAACTAGATTTCAAGAAAAATCTGAGGGATTTGAATTCTGACATGTGGACGAGTTCTGTCATCTTAGCGCTCCAAATGTCATCAAATGATTTTTTTGCTTGGAGGATCATTCCGATGAAACCCAAATTACTTAGAACAGGCATTCCCATTATGCAGTTATGTGTGATCACCCATTTGGTGAAGAGTTGGTGGCTTACCTGCTGGATCAGTGTTCTAGAGCCCCGGACGGCCTTTCATTCACTAATAATAGTGCGAAAATCAGTAACTATAATTTTTAACGCGCATCTTGGATGTCAAATCATCTGATCATTCATCAGCCACACCCCTCCCATATAAGACCACATTTAGTACGTGGAGCAGGGCAGGGAGCTCTGATAACGCAAGAGAGGGTGATAACGGTTCTTCTCGAATGGTTGAATACTAATTTTACACTGTTCACTTACTAATATTATTATTTACCACATATTTTACTTTACATTTTTGTTTTAATAATTATTCCTCTTTTATCTAATAAGAGAGGGAATTAAAATCTTATTCTTAATTCTAAGGGAATTAATTCTTAATCAGTAGAAGTGGCCTGAAAAAAGAGTTTTCTAAAGATGCGGCTTTATTGTTGATAATAAGGGCAAAGTTGATCTATTCTAAAGTTGTTCGAGTTTATTCGTGGCCGATAGATGACATCTTAACATAACTCCACTCTGACTCTCAACAGACAAACTGACGGACTCTCGACAGACAAAGGAACCAGACGGATAAGGAAGCGATTTTTAAAAAAATAACTTTATTTATTAACCGTTTACGAAGCAAAGTGTAGTAATAGCACCAAATAGCAACATTAGGCATTATGAGGACATGGAACAAAAGGATAATAACTGAACACGAGGAGGATCGGACATTTAAAGACGTGACAGGAAACCGACGAATCCTACCAGCTTGCGTGGTGGGCCGGTACGTGGGCAGAAACCAACATCAGCACATGCCTGAAATCACATCCTTCTGGTTCAGACTCCCGAACGGGACCCTACCTAGACCTACCGTCTTCGGGTCCTTCAACATTTGATCAAGCTCCTGGAACATCTCAGGAAGGAACTGTTCAACGAGCATGTCGCACTGGAAAGAAAATTTTCGAATCAATCTGGGGAAATCCAATTTCTCCTGGACCCACCATTCCTTGGTAACGAGGGATGTGCTTGCAGACATTCTCTGAGAGGAAGTCGCGGATTTCCTTTTGCTTTTCCTTATCCTCGACGATCGTTTTCAATTCACGGGCAGCAAACTGGCATTCGTCGCAAACCAAGTCCTTCTGGAACAGTAAACGATCAGTTAGTCCAGCACATAGTAGTTATTTAAGTCAAATGTAGCGCCAGAAAGTTATAATCCGACTTCTCGATCTCTAAGGTGATCAGTCCTAACCCCTCACTCAGACAGATAGATAACTACCTCAAGCAAAAAAGATCGCCGAAGTACCAAGTCGTCAAACTCAGTGAATATCCTTCTTACCCATCTTTCTTCACGAAAAAACTGCATTGAGGCCGATTTTTGGGCTTACAAATGGGTAACAGATGGGTGCATGACTTCGCTAATGAGTTGCACATGTGGAAGTACTGGATCGGCACCTTTCTAGAACCGTAAATAAACTACCATTCCATCGACTTTGCTCAATTGTCTCTTGGCATAGAGCAATCCGATTCTATGGAATGCTTCGAGGCGTGAGTTAGAGCACATGTGGAATGACTTGCAGACAGCATGAGCATCCTTCTGAAATCGGTACAAGCATTAAATACTCGGGGCTATACTGCTAAATATGGATACTTTTTATAGGGTATGCCACGAAGTCGACTTTCAAACACGATCCAATGGGAATTTTGTTGAAATTTCGTGACAAAAACAAAAACACTAGTGGAAATGCAAACCCCACATTCGTGTCCTTTTCCGCACAACTCAAGATATGCGGCAGGGAGCACTCTCAGGCTATCAACCACTACAGTAATTGCTGCTCAATAGACAATATCAGCAACCAGTCTACCCTCAGCTTTTTTCGCATCCAGAAATCCGAAACTGGCAGAAATTTTTGGTGGCAGAATTTAGCCCTACGCTAGCTCAGGAAGCACGAAATGGCCCAGTTCAGTAGAGTCCAATTTCCTGGTACGAAAAGCTGTCATTCAAAAGCAAAGTGATGACTACAAACGATGTATACCGATGACTACGGCGAGTTCCCTCACAAGAAATTTGTGGATGTAAATGTTTGGGCTTCTCTGAAGCCGTTAGGCTTTGCTGTGTATTCCATGCTTACATGAATCTTATCATTCCATACATTCACCACTTGAACTTGAATCTAGAGGGTCCCTGAACGTAATTTATGTTACAAACAAGTCTCTTACTATAAGATGGGCATGGTTTTGCACTTCAACCAATTTCGAATCGATTTTTGGTCAACATTTTCCAGCAACTCAACTTACCAGGTAGGGTTCGAGTTTCTTGACGATGACGTCAAGCTTGGCAACAAAGAGGCGGCACTCGTCAACATAGGAAGTCTCGTGGCAGAGCACGTTCAACAACATTTTTAGTTCAGCTAACTTCTGCGGGTCCCTGGCTGCATCGGAGAATCTGTGTACCAACTGAAATTAGAATCAAATGAGAGAGTCGAGCGGTTACGTCTACCTTCAATTGTCTAATTTCAGAGGAAGTTTTTTCTCCCAACATTCCACCGACTGTAACTCACCTATGGACTGCAATTGAGCAGCTTAGAACACCAAAATCGCCGGTAGCGATAAAATCTAATGCAACATATTTGAAAGGAAGGCATCTTGGCGTTTTACGGCACACAGTTCAGTTTGTAGGCGTACGAGGGGACTCTACGCCTGTTGCCCCTCTGCTTAGCATGCCTTAGTTAGTTGTCTCGCCACGCCCCATTGCTATCGGCGCTCACGATTTTCGACCATGAACCTGTCTCGCTATTTAAGCCATTCTATTTTCAAACTAATTCTTAAATTTCAGAGGCTGAGCTGAATGCAACATATAATAACTATTGGAGCAGTAACCTTATTGGGGCACATACTCATCTCTGAGGTAGTTGACCTCATCTACCACCTTCCTTCAAGCAGCTTTTCTGAAAACCTGGCAACGTCCCTATCAGTAAGCGTAGTAATGAAAATAAGAAAACAAACCGATTGGCATTCATCACATGTTGATGGGATCTCAACGCTACCGACAGGTTCCTTGCTGATCTTGTTGTGTTTCAGCATCGACTCCTTGTCGAATGCGAAACATGCAGCGACGACTGCTAGAAGGACGATGAACTTCATCCTAGAATTTGGGAATTAAAAGAAATTCTCAGGTAGTTCTTGCAAAAACTCGAAAACGGAGCTCGAAATCGCGAAAAAATAGACGAAAAATGAAGGGGAATGCAAGGAAGGTGGGGAATGCAATCAATAGCATGGTGGCCAGCTCTGAATGGTATAGAAGATGCAGATCAAAATAGAGGGGACAGCCAGTAGAACACGTTGGGCTAGGCCTTAAGATGATGCCTACAATTCCTAAAAAACAAATCTCGACTGTATCGGAACTGGTCTCACAAAGAGCCAGAATGCAGCTGTGAACTCACAGACTTAATGTGAGTTCAATTCCTTGAATCACTCCAAAGAACAAGCTTAATGAAGCGATTTATATCAAAAACTGGTATTTGAAGTAAAAATGTTCGTAATTGTATGTCAAAAAAGACGTCGGCGATCTCATTTAAAAGAAAGTGAAGAAAACTATGGAATGGGAAGAAAATATGGGCTGCCTTTATCGCTGCCACCAGGTCACCCAGAAATTTCGGAAGGGGTCGGTCTAAAGATGAAGTGGGAAGACCGCTTTTTATATTGCTTGCTAGTATTTCTTTCATAGACGAGTTTGCTCTTGCATTTACAAGTTCCTCTGATGCACCGGTTAATCTTTTTTGAAGTATTTTAAATGTTTTCACAACTGTTTGATTAAAAATTTTTAATTTATTTTTACCCACTGATTTTCTATGCACTACAGCATAAAAACATTGTAAATTACATTTCATTTGTTACTTGTAAGGGTCAGAGACACTCAGCACCTGTACAAAGGAAGTTGAGATTAACAGCTTTTAGTGAAGTCAAATAGGTGGATTAGGCTCGAACGTGAATCCCTAACTGGACAAGTTTTCCGACTGAAACCCATCACAGAAGCGGAAGAACTATCCATCCTTACCGCTGAGCCTTGCAGCTAGGCAAGGAGAGATGTGGAAAGGTTATAGATTACTTACTTAAAGCTGACCGTTCGATTGTTAAGTACCATTCATTAATTACTGTCTCTGCTCAACATCTCTGCTGGTTAAGCCAGAAAACACATGAACAGAAATCAGCTGACTGAAGCGAATGTGTCAGCTGTTCGGGCTGTTTGAAGAGGAAATAAAAGTTGCTCATCAGCTTGGAAACAAGTGGAAGTACTCCAACCTCACTTTGATACCCTCGCGATGAATGAGCTGTTCGGTTGGGCTATTGCTGTTGCTTACTTGCTTTCAAGGACTCCCGAATTTCAGTCAAAAGATAAATTAACTAATGAAGTGGCGTTCTCCTATTTCTGACAGCTATTATAGTAACATTATTACTTCATTAACTATTACAAATCATAAATTAGTAGGGGAAGAAGATGGAAAATGAGTCGTCGCTGATAAACAAAACATTTGAATCTAGTTGTAGTCAGAGATACTCAAACTGTTTTACTCCGATGCCTAAGATAGGGAGTAAGATCAATGAGATGAGATTCTTTAGGAATTCTCGACAGCAGAGGGGGCTATAGCAAGTCGGAGACATGAGGAATATGACTCGGAAGTCCAGCGCTGCAGAAGAGATTAGCACCCTTTCCATCCGTAACTAGTCGGTAGGGGTAGGTGGAGTACTTATCGTCTACCATGTTACCTGTTACACATATCCTCGAGCCACGTTACATTGTATCCCTTCTGAAGTAGAATAACTGAGAGCGATAATCCTTACTATCAAGGAAAGATTGATAAGATTGCGTCTTAGGCCCGGGTTATCAAAGCAGGGTCAAGATGAAACTCGCTGATTTAAATATGTTCCATAAGCGATGGGAGAACCGTAGTTGTACGCTTCCGTTATAGGCAAGATGGAGTGAACTAGAGAAGAAAGTCATAGGTCACAGTTCTCTGAAACAGGCTTCCAAGAGGGAGAATCTCATCGTGAAAGTTCAAGCAATGAGTGTTTGCCTTAGGAGTTCCGAAGTCAGGCTATCTACCTTAGCATTTGAGACATATCAGGTACCAGACACTTCAGACGGCAAAGAGTCCGATGCTCGTTTTAACACGGATTGCCCCTGGCGGGAAGAGTAATTCATACGTCAGTATCTGGACCTAATGTCACGCTACTGTAAGTTAAAAAAAAGGAAACCTCATTCCTACCAAGGAGTGGTGAATGGATGTCAGCTGAATTCTGTAAATTAAACCAGTGGTTCCCTCAAGCGCTTCGTTAAAAAAGTCGCTGGCCTGCATAGAAGTACATCGAGAGCGGTATGGACAGCTAAAGCGGGAGGAAGAAAGGAGCAATTCTAGGGCTGATGAAGAAAAACTGAAATATATAAGTGAGCCTGCGAATTCTAGTGAATCCCACGGGAAGGTCCAAGTTCGTTAGAAAAAAGATGAACGATCAATGGCTAATGTCGGCAAACGAACGAACGGTGTGGTGTGACCGACACAGCTGTCGTTTCGGCTCAACCCATCGGCCTCTGGCCTCTTCAACCAAGCGGCACCAAGAGGTTTGTTCCGTCCAGTGAAATAAACATCTGGCCGGGAGCAGACATATGCTACCGCTCCGACTTCAAAATGGGAAGCTCGTAGGCTGGTAGTCAGAGCTTGACTTCTGCAGGAGCATGACAAAGTGTACCCATAAGACGAAGGTGGTCTCAAAAACTGAGACTGCTACTATTGTTGTGCTTGATAAGACTACTATCCAAACAGTGTTTGTCAGTTATTTACAAACAGCCATAGCAAGGAACAAAGGCGAAAGTGATTCATCGACATTTCTATGCCACATTTTGCTTGCAATGATTTCCACAAGCAAGTTTTTGGATTTTTCACCGAATCTTTTTTTCGAAAAAAGTTTCGGCTTCCATAGAAGGTATACGAGTTTTTCACCATAGCACAGTAAGAGAGAATGATGAGCCATAATGGTGCGAAAGTAACTCTTGGTAATGAGTAATTATTAGAGCTTATGAAGGATAGAAGATAGTCTTTTTACGTTGAACAATCCCTTCTGAGGGATGCGCCACCGCATTTGACATCCATTCAGAATCGTAGTGGCGTGATGAATGCGTATGAAACCTATACAATGACATGCGGTGGCCAGCCGATAAAAAACAGGTGCTTTCATCCTCTAGATGAGTCTGGGACCAATTAACCGACCCTAGAGGGAGGGAAGGTTCAGTTGGCCTAGGCGGATAGCGATCAGGGAATCGAACCCGGACCCTGCGGGTGAAATAGTGCGGCACCTTCCACTACACCACCTCCGCCGCAGTAGAGCCTATACGGGGCAAACTTCAATTATGCTTGACAGGGAGAGGAACCTCTTTCTGTGAGTCCTTCATATGGTATAGTCCTTCCCAGAATTTGTCTCATATTTGGGTTGAAAGTCTAGATTGAGACTTGCCATGGAATTCGGGAGGAATTTGAGGACGTGAATGATTCGAATTTTAGCTGATATGATACAGCTTTGATTTTCCATTTAAGTTCGAAGAATGGTAATGACATGCGTTTAGGATAAGAATTGGAATGAGAAAAGATAAGTCATCTTGAGAAGTATTGGGCAGCATCAGCGTGTAGGCAAATGCTTGAAAATCAATGGTGTTTCCCGTCTTTTAACAGCAAAAACACCAACTGGAAAGGCTCAACGGTCTCAGTGGCGCTATCTACTCAGCTGAATGGCTTGGTCAAAGAGCTGAGGTACAACCTTTGAAACTATTTTCAAAACCGATGTAGTAGTCAGTGCTTTTATTCTCCTAGACGAGACTGGTACCAATTAGCCGACCCCGGAGGGATGGAAGGCTCAATTGGCCTAGGTGGATATGGACCCGGGATTTCAAACTCGGATCATGCGCGTGTGATGGTGCGGTACTTGCCACTACACCAGATTGGCCCTGGTCGAATAGAGTAGGAGTATCTAAGCTTCATGGCAAAACTCCACCACTATTGACGTTTTAATTCCTTCAACAGTATGAATTACTCAAATCGAAAGCTTTGTCACATTGATTCTCCTCTAAAGGGCATGCCTGCATGGAACTTTTTTAAGCCTGAGACATGCTGGACAGCTTGAGTGCCCTAAGAGGAATTGTAACGCTGTAGGAATTGCAAAAGTTAGAAACAAAGAAATTTCTCAGTTTTTAATAATATCGACAAAGAATTTGAGCAAGAAAATTGAAGTTGCACGTAAGAAATTGCTCAAACAATACGAAACTATTCTTTAGGAAGCTCGGTTGCTGTTGCGAGCATGAGAACGAGAATACTGCCAAGACTCGGCCAACAGATGTCTATAAAGGCTACAAAAACTCGTCTGAGCAGTAACAGATGCTCGCTCTGACTTCTTTGACAGAGGAGAAATCGAGAATAACAACTGGCTGTTATGAAATCGTATCAGAGTGATATGACACGAAACACATTTCTGAAGTTCTATAGCTTATTCTTACAATTTTAACAGCAATTTAACAATTTTAGAAACAAAGGGCAGGTTTTCTGAAGAGCCGTCAATTTAGCTATCTTGAATCAGTAGATCTTGGCGGTGGTAGTGTAATGCCAAGTGATGCGATATCAAACGAAGAGTCCGGTAATCAAACCCAGTATTGATACCCGGTCGGGAAAACCATGCTCTCCAGCCCTCCGGTGTCGGTCATTTGGTATCAGATTCGCTTGGAGGGTGGAAGCGAGTTCATCCGCAAGCCATTGAATAAACCATATGCCATATGCTCATCAAAACGTCACAACGATTCTGAATGGAAGTAGACTGCGGGGCGCATCCAGGACGAGATTAATCAACGTCTTGAAACCAAGCATTTCATTCCTACTTAGTGGAGGTCCTAGTAAAAAGCAGAAATCAGCCGATCAGAATAGTATTCGACAGATTTTCTGAAACACTGATAACCAGCAAAGGCAGGACGAGAAGCGGTTCTTTACAACGGCGGACCTATGCTCTCACAGATGAAGCTAGAGCCAAAGAACAAGATTCTGAAGCGCTTCATAAGACCAAAAAGATGTGCTAGGGATTCTTCTCATTGTACACTCCTCGAAGCACTAAGGGCGTCACAGTATGAATGACTTTCAATGAAGGCTGAGCTGTTCATAGCAGATCGTCTTGACAGATGCAATATGGTGGGATTATGAGGAGGATTTGTCACTTATCTCTCCCAGACATCGTTCCCACTCGGAATCACGCATTTATGTTTATCTGTTGGTGACTCATATCGAATGATATCTCCGTTTCACTTGCTGACTCATGATAGATGGAATTCAGTTTGTCATCCTTGTGTCCTTGTTGTAAAGGTGTTTGTCACGATTGGCACAACCGATATTGTTTGACAGGAGGCTGTATGATAAAGTGCCCAACCTAATTTGGGTTAGATCAGTCAGAAATTGCAAATTCCTTATTGTAGTTGCATGAATACCACACAGCCACAATATACCTTTCAGAAACAGTTGAACACAGTTTGCTGTATGTATTTCTTTGCAAACTAAAAGTTTGAAATATGTTTTTCGGGTATCACAGTTCTCTTTTAGGCAAGTAAGGAAAACAAGAAATCGTGGAGGTACGGCCCAGGGAAGTCTCCAACGGTTACTACAAAACAGTCTATGTACTTGACAAAGTTAGTTCATAGAAATTGTCCCTCTTTAATAATCTCTATTGCGTACTGTAATTGGAGTTTTAAATAGCTTTGCCACTTCGAGTCTTAACCTCGATGAATTTGTGAAGACGGATGAGATATCCTGTAGAATTGGAAACAAAGTATCTGTAAAAAGTGTATCGGTGAGAACAGAGGGTGAAGGTATTCGATTTTCCTTCTCAACCCCTTTGGTTAAGAACCCCTAAACACTACCACTATGCCGGCTCCCAAAGACTGATTCGGTTGTAGATAGGGGAAATACATAGAGAAGCCTCAGTGGCATACTTACAGCTGGATTCGGAAGAACCAGCCCTTGAGATGCTGACTAAGGCGGTTCTGAACTATGGCAGAGGTCTGGACTTCAAATCGATTTCAAATCTGTTTTTCTTTGTTCACCGAAAAATGTTATGAAAAGGTCATTGTAGTCTCCATTTAACAACCTCCATTTGACTCATGTTCGTCGAAGAAAGGTCACAAAGGCAAACTGAAAGGCTGTGGCGTAAATGCACTTTATCTCGTATTTCACATGATCAATGGCAAGAGTCCTTGGTATGCACGCCTTTCGGTTCTAATGCACATCGAGGATTCGTTTTTGTCGGATAATTAAACATCCCTCGATTTTCTTGAGCAGCCGGAAGTCGTCCATTTTGAAGGCTTACAGTTGACTCATGGAGTCTCTAGACATACAGTGATGAACAAATCGAAAGGAGAGAAATCTTGAGCCTGATGAAGGCCGATGAGCTACCCATGTAGCTCTACTTGTTCCAGTTTCCCTAGTTTCTTTCCCTCCCCACACCCGGTTCTCTTAGTCTGATGTCCATTGGGCGACATCAGAGACATGGAACTTTAGGGAGCCTGGGCGGGTTTCTGTTCAGAATTTGGTCACGGAGCCATGGCAGTCTTAAGTCACATGGTGCCCTCTACTTGGGTTTTTCTCTGAGTAACAGGGCCCCGGTGAACCTAAGTCAGTATGTAATTGAACTCAATAATTAAAAAGCAGCTCGAAGTAGTAGAGAACACGATGATGATGTGCTAAGGATTCAGGGGAATTATGAGAAAATTTAATCTTAGGATGGGCGATCTGGTGCGTGGAGCCCCCATTCACCACGCCATCCACGTCAAGCAAGAGATAGAGATAAGGTGCGAGAAATGTACCAGTTTGTAGACGTTTGCCGTTTCGTGGAAAGCAAAAAACGTGAATGCCCAAGCCATTGTACTAATGTGAACATAAATTTCACCTTAGTGGGGACCTTTTATCAAAAAAANAAAATTACAAATTCCATTTTTTTTGTTACGGTCGATTTGGATACTGTATCTAGAACGAGCAAGCGATATCGGGCTAGTTCGACACTTTTACTTTTAGACTTGCAATGAGTAATACTGACCATTGAAAAAAGAATTAAAAATGAAATGAGAAGTTCGAGAGGGCAGTAGGATAGTTAAACAAATGGAAGGTCGTTCAAACGATGCCATCTGACCGGTCATGAAAACAGCAACTGTTAAATCGAAGGCATCGGGAAGTACTGTAACTAGAAGGAGCAGGCAATATCGGAATAGTTCGCCTTACACTTTACTTTTAAACTTGCAATGAGTAATACTGACCAATGAAGAAAGGATTAAAATGAAATGAGAAGTTCGAAAGGGCAGTAGGATAGTCAAACAAATGAAAGTTCGTTTAAACGATGCCATCTGACCGGTCATGAAAACAGCAACTGTTAAATCGAAGGCATCGGGAAGAAACAATGAAGTAGAGAAGAGGATATCGACGGTCGAATGACCATGGGATGGCGCCGACGATGGTGTAACAGGGCGAGATCGAAAGGGGCAACAAAAAATGGGGTCGCCATCGCTACTTGGTACTTGTAGAATACTAGTCATCATAGTGGACACATATGGCAGTTTGCAAAAAGCGGTTTCCATGAAAGGTTGTTCTGATCGAGGCCTTTCATATGATGATATTAACGACCCAGAAACTGTTTCTTTTGCTGAAAATGACCAGTAAGAGGATACAATGTTGTATGCGTCGCTCAGAGCTGCTCGGGCCACTTTCGAGATGCGCCACGTATTCTGCTTTTGCCAGAGATCGTAGTAGTGTTCGATAGAGTCAGGGTAAATACAATTAATTGTATGGCCAACGAATGCATGTGTTAGTGCATGTTTTCGGGATTCAAAATTCAGAGAGTGCTTCTGAGAAACCAGAAGGAGAGGTTTTTCTCTTTAGGGGTAGAAACTCGAAATCTGACGCTTTTTAGGGAGTACCAGGATTTGGTAAAGGAGTCAGGCCGTCAAAAAAAGGTTTCGTGAACGACGTTTTGCAGAGGGAAAATTTCAGGAACAAAGAAAACGATGAGCAGATGTGGTTTCTCTTTCAGGAGTCCTCTGAGGAGCCTCGAACCACTCATGGAAGGCTCGAAGGATCAGAAAGGTTTGGTCGTAAGAATGAGTCTGGAAGTGGTTGTACTCTCCAGATTGGCAATAACTACCCAGAATAAAACTCTAGTATTAGCGGAGCAACAAAGAAAAAGATTCTGTCGACGAGTTTTGCGATCAGCTCTCTGAGAAATAACCAGGTGCTCTGAAGTCATCCAGCAGTGATAAGTCCTATCACTGCGCATCTGCTCAATTCTCACACTGATTAGTGATCAGCGCATGTCAGCGAAGGAGTCCGTAGCGAACTCTGACGACTAAAACTTTGATGCAAGAATTTAGGCTGATGAAAATTATGTAAAACTATGAGCATTATACTAGCCAGTACCCTTACTGGGAACGATCCTTCAACAGTCTCCTATATTCAGTGCTTTAATTTGAGTAATCTCATCAATAATCATGAATTTACTATATACCCCTTTGAATTCCGACGTAACAAACATATTTTCCGAGGCAGGGGGAGATTTGAAAGATTCAAGGGTTTGAAAATGTTTGAAAGTGGAAAGAGGTGTTTCGCTACTGACAGACGCCTGTGGCGCTGGCGGTTTTTTCCGCTCAAGCGGTGGAACCCTGGCCTCTGAAGAAGACGATTGCATCGAAACGTTAGGCCGTTGATTAAATAAATTGCCCCACTTAACAGCCTCGTACGGCACGAAGGTATTTCAATCATAAACAACTATGCCGAGGTTAAAGCAAGAGAGAAGTTGGACACTATATAAAGAGATTATTCATACGGCCAGGCATCTCAGGCATCAGTTCTGAATCAGATTTCAGTATCGGTCATTTGCTATATAGCCTGACATCGGAATCTTGCAGGAATGTGGTCTGAACAACCCAGATCAGTAGTATCCTTCTACCAACTGTCTACTTATTTATTATCGAATTTATTTAGTCATCCAGCACCTTTGCGATCAAACCCATCCACTAATTTATTGCTAACCTCAAGTAGTAGTGTTATGAATGGGTATTTTTTCGTTTACTAATTGTTTCCAAAATACTGAGCTGATAAGAAAGAGATAAGGAGAGTTAGTTAGGTGAACAGTATTGTTTATTTTGCTCCACCAACGGCAGTAGCCGGTAAGACTCGTTCATCTGAAGAACTTGGCTTTTACTTGAAGAAACCCTGAATAGTCTAACTGGTGCAGCAATCGAATGCGTCTGCCCGCTACAGAGATTATCGATTATGCGCTCGTGAAATCAATACGCATTCCACTGCATACGCGCTAGCGTGGCGTCAAAGCATCAAAAGTTCAAGCTCGTATCTGCCACATTAATCCTTTGGACATAAATCTGTTATGTTTTTAGAAATGGCCAAAAAGATCAATATAAACGTCAATTTGGAAGACTATACGAAATTGGACAAAATCGGTGAAGGTTGGTCTGAATCCACGAATGGTGATGCGCGTAGAATTCTGGTGATTCGCTGATTTACAGGAACGTATGGCGTCGTGTACAAAGCTCAACACAAAGAAACGAACCAATTGGTAGCGATCAAGAAAATACGACTTGAGTTTGAAGATGAAGTTAGTTGCCTATGGGATGTGGGCAGAGGTTACGACATCAGAGATTTCCGCAAAGGACCTTCTCCATAAACGCACATATCTAACTGGAAGGACTCGCTGCGAAAACGAGACGTGGTGGGTCAGGAGGTGCCGTTTAAGCCGCTCCCATAAAATGACGTAGGCTGCATAAAACGATGAATATCATTCCGATTAGTTCGAACACTACTGATTATGGGCTTCCTAAATTCCTCTCTGGAGACGAGTACCACGAAAGAGGTCGACTAGGGGAACAGCTTTTCCTAGTGAAAAAAGTAGTACACAAGGAGCGATGCATTCATGATGTGGTCCTACGATGGTTTCTCGGAAATTTGCCAGACATTTAAGCCTTTCTGGTCATACCTAATGCTTTTCTTTATCCTCACCTATCCTCCATTTTCTGAAGGACTTCTGTCCTCAGGTATCGTCGAATCTTTATGATTTTTACTTTCATAACTTTTGTACCTTTCGAATTTCTCACTTATGTGCGGGCAAAATGTCCTTATTGAACTGGTTCAGGGCATCCCTGCAACGGCAATACGTGAAATTTCAATGCTACAAGAGCTTGCAAATCCAAATATTGTCGAATTCATAGGGATTTCACTGCAGGTAATGTGTCCACGTCGAGTTGCCCAGATCAACTCACAGCGCGCGGCGGCTTCTGGTCAGACGTCTCGTCGTGCGACATGCTGTTCGGAACCATCGCCTATCACCCCTGCGCAGGACGTAGATAGCGACCTACCTAACGGTTCATTGCAGGAAAGCCGTCTTTACCTTTTCTTCGAGTTCATTATGATGGATTTGAAAAAATATCTCGATCAAATACCATCAGAAGAATATCTTCCGAAGAAGACTGTGCAACGTTTTGCCTTCCAGGTATTCGGAAAACAAATGTGACTATTCCTAATCACCAATGGGCTTCTTTCAAGCGTCAGCCCTGAATCTTCCTTAAAGGCTAAACTTCAGATCTGCCAAGCGATGTGCTTCATGCATCAGCGTCGAGTGCTTCATCGTGACATGAAGCCACAGAATCTGCTCGTTGACGAGAAGGGAGTCATCAAAGTGGCTGATTTTGGCTTGTCGCGCTCGATAAACATTCCAGTACGGATTTATACACATGAGGTAAGTGCAGTGAGTTTAGAGTTGGGAAACCCAACGGCCCGTCCAGCGCGTTTGACTTAGGTAAGATACCGAAATCTGAATACAGCGAAATGGAGTTGAGGAGCTAAATTTTTCACATTCTGGACGAAGCCAAACCTAGCGCATGTTAAAAGGAACTTGACAGGTGACTGCTAAGGGTAATTCTCGTGATAGGTAGCGTCTAGGGTTATACCCATCAGGAGATATCCTCCCTTATGTAACCCACATGCTATGAACGATGATGTGCGCAGCAGTGGGTCCTCACCGGCATGTGGCTAATTTTCACTTTTTTTTGTTTGTTAAAAACAAAGAAAACGTGTGACAGGATGGATTCCTACCAGTTTTTCTATTTCTTCAGTTGATGCTCATCATTGGATCTTCAATGGGGTCCCAACAAGGTCTCGAAGTGTCTGTAGTCGCCAAACATTCAGATTGTAACTCTATGGTACCGCTCTCCGGAAATCCTTCTCGGAGCTCAACGCTATGCTGCCGCTGTCGACGTTTGGGCAATTGGTTGTATTCTGGCGGAGATCGTGCTTAAAACATCGCTGTTCAAAAGCGATTCAGAGATTGATCAGCTCTTTCAAATATTCCGGTAAATGAAATGAAATCTTTCGATCCAAGGCTGAATTAAGTTACCACGATAAAGCAATTTTCAGGTTACTTGGCACCCCGACCGAGAAGCAATGGCATGGTGTGATGAAAATGCCCGAATTCAAGACTAGATTCCCTAAATGGACTAAGAATCAATTGGAGGAAAAATTGAAACCGTATTGCGATGCTACAATGATAAACTTGATTCAGGTAATTTTTCAGATATTTGACTTGTAACAAAATGTTGTTAGGGTTTCCTTCACCCCTCTTGAGCAGTCTAGGAGTCCAGCCTCACACTGTTCAGAGGAAAACATGGTTTGATCTATTGCTTGGTGCTGGACTAACAAGTAGAATGAGAAAAGCTCTATCCCCGAGTGGTAGCGGCCCACCTCAACTACTCTGCCTCCGTCTACTTTTGACATGAAAGGTCTTCGATTGATGACCCTAATTATACAAAAAGCTAGGAAGCTCTTGGAAGGGCCCTCTAAATCTAGAGGCGGCCCTTTAACCATATTTGAAGGGCGATGGAACCCTGTTAACCTGCATGAAGGTTCAGGGTTTCGGGAGTTGGGATATCAGACGAACATCAGGAAGGTCGCCAGCGCAATAGTCAGACCCCTTCCCAAAGCTCTGAATGAACGGAATACTATGCTTCGTGTCCCTCGAGCTAGGACGATCCATTGGAGTGCTCCAGCTTGCGACAGAGACGACTGGAACATTTGTGGTGCCCTCTCGAGGAAATCAATGATCACGGTGACGATAAGGGATTAAGTTGATACTGCTATCAATGAGACAATATTTTGGCCCTGCAAAAACAATGCCACATAGGAATGGTCCATAATCAAGTCACAGATCAGTAATACCCCACATCAGTCAAGTCTTCCCAGACCAGTCTGTTCACGTTTCTTCCGGGCACTTTAATTGGTATCAGGCAACCCTTATGGGTTAGAGACGCTCTTCCATACGTCGTAAGGATCCGTGTCATAAACTGTGCATCGTATGAGTCGTAAGCACACTCCGAGGATTTACAATTCTGAATAAAAGTAGAACACGTGGCACATCCCAAGCGTTACTGACTAGTAGCGGAATTTCACCGTTCCTTCTCCTACCTTCAAGCATTCTTGAATTCAGGCAATGCTGAAGTATGATCCAGCTCTACGAATCTCTATGAAGGGAGCGCTAAATCATTCGTATTTCAACGATGTGAGTTGGGCATATGTGTGTAGGCTCGAAGAGGAACGACCCGGTGATGGGACTTCCATTCCTGGTAGTGTCTGTAAAATGGCCCTTTCAGATTGACACCAGTGACATCCCTGCAGGAAACTATCGTGGCGAAATCTACGGCTCATAAACTTTGAAGTGAAGAGGATTCATTTTTTGGCTCATCATCACCGTAAACTCCCACATAAGCATTAAATTTTCACCCCAACAACCTTGCTGGCAATAAAAATGATTCCATCCGTTTTGCGTTGAGATGATTGAAAACAAAATATTTTTCTTGTCCTTTTTTCTTCTTTTTTTCGGGTTTCTGCCTTTATTTTCTCAATTTTCCTTGAGGTTGGTTTAGAAACTCCAGGAGTATTTTTAAGGTGCTAGATCAAAAGATAGCAAAGCATTTGTCGAACTTGGAAACGCCTGAACGGCGTTACCTCAGACTACTTCGGATGTTTTAAAATAAACGGCGACAGTGTGGAAGTGCCGCCCACTGCGCGGTCTGCTCCGCCCACAAAGCGCCACCTTTCGAATGTGCCACTACCAAGACGGCTACTAGCGCGATGGTCCGGGGTCTCCGCGAAAGCTCCGATGAACAATCTGACTCGCGACAGGGACGAATGGAAACGTTACTGGCGTCCGCTCTAAGAAATCGATGATCAACGGGACGACAGGCGGTACAAGTGACACTGTGATAAATATGATAGAGAAGTCAAGGGAGGTAGAAGACATCTGTACGTACCTACACACATAGCGAATGCCTAGGAGCTGATGGGAGATGCTGTCAGAGGCCATTCTTTTAGCGAAATGGCAGCGACAGTTATGCTCCGGAATAAGTTTTCATATTTGTCTGGTTAAAGGATCGGCTCGAAAACTTTGTAAAGTATCAAAATTTCCAAGACAAAGACATAATATAGCTTTATCTACCAGAATCTATTACATATTTGCATCGAAGAAGTTAAGGGTAAATTTCACAGCTATAGTTTCGACCGGTTTCGTTTTGTCCCTGATTCCTGAAATCCAGAGAGTTACAGAGAATCAGTTCAATTCTAAGAAAAATAAATTAGTCGCCAAATGAAAGGCCACCTTCGAGAGAACTCACTTTTCCTTAAGTGCATTGCTTTGATTACTGGCCCGCGATGCACTGCTGATTCCCTGAGTAATTCATTGAGCGATAAGGTGGTTTCATCTAAAAAATCAAGCTTACTCCTTAAAGCAAATATCAAGAGTGCCCAGCAGTTTAAAGGCACAGTTCAGAGTAAAGTTGGGTATCTACTTTTGAGCGAAATGGAAGAGATAGTTCAAGACAGTGCAGAATATGAGACGAGAGCGCGAAAATCGTTGTATCTATGGATATATGAGGCTTCAAAAGTAGTAAAATTAGTGTTTGGACGAGTTGCATGTAAGGGGTATTTGGACGAGCTGTTCGAAAGCACGCGCCATTGCATACGGCTGGCTGCATTACGCTGCCTGCGTGCAAGGGTGGACCCCGGTGCGATGGCGCAACCTCTTCAGCACGTCCGCTTCGGGTGTGTCCGTCGGCTAAGCCGACTCTGGAGCCCTTATTATGCCCTACTTTGGCCGTTTCTCGACCGAGGAAGGAACTATTTTTATCATGACTATCTGTCTAATCCTTTTCCGAAAATCAAAAATCATTGGGAAGGCCATACATTATCCGTATTCTCCCGATCAGCGGTTTTCGAAAAAAGGGAAAGCTACAGGTTTTTTTCACCAATGTAATTATCAAATTATCTAATCAATACTAATGAACGTAGTAACTCGTCCGACTTCCTTTAAACCTGTGTCGATGAATGGAGACTCACCAAACAGCAATGTATCGGGCCTGTAGAGATTCTTCTGATATATTGCCAAAGTGAATACTTCCGAGGTGGTCTCAAACGGAAATTGCGTAGTCAGATTGAGATCCGTTGTTTTTGACAAATCCACTTCGAATGCCTCACTGACTCTGCCGAGCGATAGCCGTAGAATTTGCTGAAATTGTCCATTACAGTAGTAAAAATCTTCCTGGCAAAGGGAAACGAACTGAAAGGCCTCTCCGGAGACAAAGAGACAAAGCCAAAATAGAAAACACTGACTCTGGGAAACTTCGGTCACCAAACCGCAACTTCTAAAGCTCAAAGCTACTCATTATCTATCAGAATTACCGAGTTTCAACTGCTATAGCTTAACTATTGGCTGGTGATGTAAGTGTCGAAGCTGGATCTCGGCTTTCAAGAATTAAAGACAAAGGGATTTGGGAAGTTCGCCGCCTGCAGACCGTCAGCTCAAAGGAGCTTCACGGTTCAAGGGGGAGGAGGAGGAAGAAAATGATTGAGAGACAGAACGGTAATGATTTGTGGGAACGAGCACGGCTCACCGGAGGAGATTCGAACTTTCTTGACGGGGTGTTCTGCGTGTTGAGCACTTCTACCAGCAGTCGGCCAGTTATTATGTTTTGTATGGATGGTTTCTGAAAATATAATTAATCTAAACAATTCAAATATTTTTGGCAAAAATTTTAAAACTTAAAAAAATTTCAGGTCAGCCCACCCTAGCTTGTTCTTGCTCGGCTGCTGTAATGGCGTACAAATCAATCGCTTGCTCCAATTGACTCGTCCACAAACGACGTGCATTACTACTCACACACCTGAAGGATACCGTATCCATGCCTGAAAGTGGTAGTATTCCAAAGTAACCATGCCATTTGCTTACACAGCCGCAAGCAGACTCAGTTTTTTGAGTCTGGCTACCCCTTAGGGTTGAGCCAAAAATCCAAATTCAGACTGTCGATTAATGGGGAAGCTAACAGACCCTGCTTGACGTTTAACGAGATGTCATCATTGGAAGGCAGCACTTTGAGATTTGCCAGGGGCATTGGTTGTTTGTAGAGTGATAAACGAATTTCTGTTGTTTTTGAGATCTTGAACGAGATCGGCTGCAAAAAAAGTATGAGTTGCTAGAGTATAATGCATTAGTAATAATTATTTTGGGCAGCTAGGGCCGTAAGGTATGCTCCCCCGAACAGGGGAAGGTCCCCTTCCCGAAGAGGTATGCTATCGGGGAGGGCAGAGAGATAGATGCTCTCGGGGAGAGCAGAGAAAGAGACCCGAATCGGGGCGTCCCAGCCCCGAACAGGAGAGCATACCTTACGGCCCCTGACGAAGTATTTTCCCATCGCCGCGAGGGGAGGGGTTATCTGATGGGCGGGATTTTTCAGTGCTGACTCTACAAGTACTATGTGCAAGGAACTTGTAGCTATGACGGGACCCAATACAGATAAGATTCAAACGTAAATCTTCCCCATACAAAATTTTAGAAATCCAAGAACTGTCTTTCCACCGTTTCTTTAGTATCGATACTCCCTCCCTCTCAACCCACCAGCAGTTTTTTACCATTAGCATTAGCGTTAGCATAAAATATTTTTCAGTGAAAAAAGCCACTCATACACCACAGTAGAGAGCAAGCGTCTTGTGTGGAGGGCATGCAACAGGTATTTTTGAGCCTCTTTATAATTTTGAGCTTGTGGTGTAGCCGCAAGTGGAACACAACACACGCATGGGCACGAGTTCGAATCCCGGATCGGTATCCGCCTAGGCTAATCAAGCTTTTCGCCCCTTCTGGCCAGCAAAGTGGTACCAGACTCGTTTAGAAGGATAAAAGATCTTTATTTATAGGTTCGCTAAATTCATTAAATGAAGAGCGGCTTCCACTTCAACTTTTCATATATCCCAAGCTTTCCTTCGGTACACTAGTGTAGATTCAAATGGGAGGAACAGAGTTTCTGTATGCAGCCCTTCTGCATACCGGAATGTAGCCATCCATTATTTGGGCAATTTATACCGGCGACTAGCGGTCCAAATTACCTGCGATATGTGATCGTCCGATGTAGTCAACAGAAGGAAATCGTTGAATAGAATCGCTACTAAAAGACGTCCACTACGTTGCTTGTATAGCACACCAGAGTGAAGAAATGATCGTGGACCCTGGAAAGTAGTGAATTTTAGAGAATAACGAGTATGTGAGGTAATTCTTTCTGATAAACTGAGTTAATGGGAATTCCATCTGTTTAGTCTATCACAATCGCACGGTCTTTGCAAGTTTCTACAAGGACCCGTGAGGAATCGTACCAAAAGGCGTGTATCAGAGGTGAAGTCGAGTCCCAATGATGGAGGACATTTCACATGGGATTGTGCCCAACGTAGAAGGAATACATTCTCTTCTTCGGTTACAGCATGATTCACTTCAGAGACACAAGCACGAAGA